TGAGGGTGGCTCTGTCCCAATCCGGCTTGTGCAAGGTTCAGCTCCTGCAGCGCCCTGTCTTTGTGACACGGGTTGTTCATGCATATCTCACTGGTGATACGTGCTGGGATGTTGCAACACACTGTTGCAATTTACACTGTGGGTTACCAGTTGGAGAGCCTGTTGCATTCAGTGACGCTTTGGTCCATGATTTGTCATTGGTAAAGCCAAGGGGGTGTACTGAAATGAGTCAGTCAATAAACAGGAGTCCCGAGGTAGGGCATGAGACACAGGTCTTTTGCTCTCAGCGCATAGAGGTGCTTTCTCGCTGCTGGCTGTGTGGTTGTGGGCCGTGAGCCATGGGCTGAGGAAGGGCTGAGCAGTGTGTCCCCATGACAGGGATGGTGGCCTGGGCTGGTCCCAGGAGCCTTGTGACACTGTGTGCTGGTGGAGTGAGATGGCTAGAGAAACCTCGGTGTGACTGGCTCGTGAGAATGGGGAGCACCCTTTTCCCCTCTCCAGATGGGACAAATGCAGCTTTCAATTTGGAGTAAGTGAGCTTATGAGTCATGTAGAAAATAATGAGTATAAACCACTTTTAAATGTTGGGAGAAAGTATTTTTTAGTATGTTTTCAAAGCTACAGAGGAGCATTGAGTTTTCAGTGAATGGCACAATGATCACATTGTCCCTCTGTCTTTAGGAAAGTGCAGACCATATTTCAGAATAAAATATACAAGTGTAGAAATAAATGGTATGTGACGTTTAATTTCATATTAAAAACTGACTTTGAAATTTTGCAGAGGCAAAATATGCTGTACTGATGAGGTGGTCACAGTGCAGTGAAAAAACCCTGATTTATCAGCAGGATCCTATAAGTACTTTGTAACGGTATGTTAGGACTGCTTGGGAGGCTTTGCTCTTTGCTTATACTTGGAGAATTCATTCAGGTACAAGTATAAATTGTAAGTATGTGTAATAGTGCATTTTCCTCTGGGTGCCTCTCCCACAGCAGATGCCCAGGTTCTTTTTGCTTCATTTAACTGAAGGCAAACAAGATAATTAGTTTTTCTCTTTACTCTTCCTCCTGTTTGTGTCAGTGCCATCGGCTACCATCAGCAGGATGTCGTGTTTCAGTTGAATCACATAACAGTTGTACAATCCAGGGCTTATCTTTCATCCTTTTTTGGGATTCCTTCTCCATGGATCTGGTCTGAGTGTGCTCAGCTTCTTGGGTGCTGGTTTGTTGTTCTGAGAAGTCAGTGAAAATCATAAAATGACACATATTGCCTTTGCTGCGATGAATTTTCTTAAGAGAGCCTAGAGACCAGCTAAAGTACCAGTTTGCCTCTGCTCTCCTTTGTATTCCCGAGGCACTCAGGCTTGTGGTGCTGTGCTGGTGATGTATTAGTGTTAGCAGTGTCACATTCAGAAACAATGGTGAGTGGGTTTCAAGTCTTGGTGTAGGGAGTGCCAGAATCAGCCAGGTTTTGCACTGGATTGGTACCAAGGTGAACTGGTGCCATCAGAGAATCATGCTCTGCAAGTCTGTGGAAGCTTGCAAAGCCTGGCTCTTTGGCCAGTAAGGTGGGATCTCCTGTAAGAAAGGGCAGAAAACCCTGTAGTGCTTGGTCTCATTCTTCTGAGTGCGTCTGTCTGGAGAGAGGTTTCAAAGTCTTGCGTTCCTGCGGCAAGGAGCTAGGTAGAGTGTGTGATGGTAGATAATGAGACTTGGTGGAGAGCATAGCTGAGAAATGCAATTTGTCCTTCCTGTCATGTTCTTCTGAGATTTTTGTGTTGCTTCCTCTGTGGCCTGTTCACGTTCTCCTGTGCAGGTGGGTGCTTAGTTTTCCCCAATGGTTTCTTGCATGAGAGATGTCTCTGTCTTTTAGCAGAGGATTTTGGGCAGAAGGTTTGTGTTTTGCTTTGCTGTTTACACCTGTTGGTGTGAGACTTTCCCCAGATCATGCCAAGACATGGGAGCTGTCAGTTGCTTCTCTGTCCTAAAGGTGTGGCTGGGGTTGTCAGCTGGTGGTAGGGCCTTTGGGAAAGAAGTATATTGAAACAGGATGTTTGTCTTGCTAAATGGTGTGCATTGATTCAACTTGCAGTTGCTTGTTAAGCATCTGTGCATCCCTGACACCTAGGCCTGATTCAGCGAGTTGATGTGGCTAAACCCTTCCGATGTGTCCTTTCAGGAGGTTGTTGTGTGTGCCCTGGGATGAGAGGAGACCCTTCACATGGCAGCAGGAGAGCCCTTCAGTGTGGGTGGGATGGATCAGTAAGTGCTGCCCTTAGCCAAGGAGTGTCTGGATGAATTTGTGAGACTGTGCCCACAAGGGTGTCTCTGCTGTGAATTAAAGTGTTTGAGCAGGAGCTTTCCAAGGGAAAG